TATATATATATATATATATATATGTATCTGACTATCTATGGTCAGAAATAAACACACACACACATCCAACTATCTATATAGAGAGAGATATGTGGTCAGAAATATGGATGCATAGATGGATGGACCCTTAATGGATGAATGGATGGGTGGATGAGTGGATAGATGGAAGAAGATGGGAAAGAAGGGAAGAGGAGGGGAGGGAAGAGAGATTGAGAACATGTAGTGAATAAGAACATAGGCTCAGGAGCCAGGCTGCCAGGGTCTCTGCACTTCAGTTTCCTTTTCAGTGATTACTTTTTTCATCCTTTAACTTTCTTTGTGTGTGATTCAAGGAACTCTATGCTGCCCTACAGTTATTATGTATCTTAAAAATGGAGGAAAATAAACTTAGATTGTAACAGGATGGAACCCCATAAAGTAAAGCAATAATACTACTTATCCCTTGCAGTTGTTATGAGAATAGAATCAAATGAGATACTACATATAAAAAAAAAAAAAACCCACAGCACACTGCTGAATAAACAGCGTCTATTCATATATCACATAGTCATGTAATTCAGATACCAACTGGGAGCCCTGTGAGGACTGAGTAATCTTAGCCTGCACCTAGATTCCTCAGAACTGAGACAGTCAAGACCCTCCTCCACTTCCGCAGTTCTGTCCCATCTGCATCTGTGTGTGCTGCTTCAGAGCCTTTCCACACCTGCCTCCTTCCCAATCCATGCTCTGCCCTCCCCATGCCACCCTCTCTGCCTCCGCTCACTATTGGTCTAGACCCAAAGCCCAGGCCTTTCATTGATTCCCATGGGAAATCAGGTTACATTAAGCATTTTGTTGTTTTCTGAGTTTTTTACTGCAGGTCAGTGTGGGGGATGTCACGGGACCTATCACAATCAAGTGGCCTCACATCACTTCCCATTCCACCCTTTCTTTCCTCTCTTTTTCTTTTCCAACTGATAGCACAACCAGCAAATCCTTCTCACCTCCACCCCACGCTTGAGGGCTCTTAGGATCTGAGCATCAACTCCCAGAGGCTTTCCAAAAAATGTTTCATACATGAAGAGAGTTGCTGCTCTGAACTCTATGCATCTCTACAGATGGAAAGATCATTCTGGTAGCTGGGTGGTGAGGGGACAGGGACAGGCTGGGTTGGGTGTGAAGGAGACAGTTAGAAAGCTACTGCTGTAGTCTGGGAGGGAGGCAGCAGGGCACTGTCCAGCTGCAGTGGTAGCAGAAAGAAGAAAAGACAAAAGGTTTGAAGGCGTTCCTCACTGACATGATTTGGGGGACGTATGAATGAGGGTGAGGAGGAGTGCAAGGTCGTGAATCATGTTTTGGTTTCAGGCCTTAGTGACTGGATGAGTGCTAATACCGCTTACTGAGACACAGACCACTGCGAGGGGCTGAGATCTGGGGCTCCCCTCACGGGTCTGTGTTTGGACGTGTTGAGAGCACAGCGCTCTCTACCTTCCTGCCTTCGTGCCTGAAAGTGGGACTGAGACTACAGCACAAGTTGACTTGCGATATCAACACCTTCTCCAACTCACACCAACCCCGCCACACTCTGCCCTCGCGGGTAGGCAGGACTCTGTGAAGGTCTCCTTTAGATTAGTTCCCAGCTCTGTTCAGTTGCTTGGATCTGGGAAAATGCTGTTATCTCCTCTTTGAGTGACTCTCCTGCCCTCATCCTTTAGGCAAGGCTCCTCAAGGAGTCCCAAAGGACTCCCTTCATTTTGAAACACTGGCTCCTCTTGGCTCCTGGGTACCTTGTGCTCCTCCTCGAGACCCTTTGCCCACTTATCCTCAGGGCTCTATCCTGTGCCCCCTTCTCGGCTCTGTCTTCATGTTCTCCTTTAAATGCATCAAGCTTGTCCCAGCTCTGGGACTCTACCGTGGCTGTTCCTTCTGCTGGAGTTCTCTTCTACTTATCTTTACATAACTAGTTCCTTCTCATCCTTTAAGTCTCAAATTAAATTTCAGATTTTCTGAGAAGCCTTCACCCAACTCAAGAGACTTACATGGGATATATATTTATGGACATATCGGGGTATTTTTTCAGAGCCGTGAAGATGTTAGTAACACTTCTTATTCCTCCAGCCCAGAGACAGAGACCCAGAGCAGCTCTGCATGGAGCTGCTGGCATGGTGCCTACTGTCTGCACAGTGAAAGGAGGCAGGCACAGGTTTGGGCTTTAGCCGCCCAGCAGCTTGGGGACCACAGCTCTTGTCCAGGAACTGGGCATCCCAAGTGGGATCCTACCAGGACTGAAGACCCCTTCTTCTCATGTCCACTTCAACTAAACATTTATTGAGTTCCTCTTAAGAACCAAGAATTCTCGTATCCAGTAAATATCTCAAGTAATACTCATAATAACCCCACACATTTCTATCTAACCGCCTGTCGATTAGAGAACTAAAGCTCAGATAGTTTACTCAACTTGCCCAAGTTCATAAGTTAGTAATTATTAGAGTCATGGACTTGAACTTGGGTTGACCTGTCATCAAAGCCAGTGCTGTTTTGCTATTACAAAGCTGCCATATAAAAATAATTTCACTGACACCTCAAACAACAAAGATAAAATTACCCCTGTTTTACATATGAGGAACATGAGTTTCAGAGAGCTCATGGGGTTATAAGAAGTAGAGCTAGAGACAGAATCAAGGCCCCTGGTTCAGCACACTCATTCATTTGTTCATTCATTCATTTCTCAGTTTCCTGAGTTTGAACCCTCTATCCAATACTAGGAAAACAAAGATAAATGAAACATATCGAGAAAATGAAGGCGCTCATAGTCTTGCAAGAGGAACAGACAATAAGGTATGATTATATTCAACACATAAGGATATAGAACCATAGAGGGTGGAGCTTTAAGAGAGGAGGGGAATGACCTGGAGAGAAGAAGGTGTTCCAGACAGAGAAAACAGCATGTGCTAGAAAGCACAAAGAAGTGTGGTGTGTGTGGAGAACTGCCTGTGACGTGCAGTGCCCAGGGACGAGGCCAGAGGAGCAGGCAGCAGGAGACTGCGGAGGGCTTATGTGCTATGCAAAGCGGTCTGAACTTTAACCTGTGAGCAGTGGAGAGCCAATGGAATATTTAAAGCAGGGAAGTAGCAAGGTCAGATTTGCATTTTATAAAGCCTCTGGCCAAGGCTATAGAAAATGGGACATACTGCAATGATACTACAACAAAGAAACCAGCTAGAAGACTTTATCAGTCAAAGATGCTTTTGGCTGCAAGGAACAGAATCCCCTGTGGCTTAAATAAAAGGGGGTTTATTTTTTTCTGCCACGGTGAGAAATATGAAAGTGATGGCACTAAGACCCGCTGGCTTGAGACATGGGCACAATATGCTGAAGATGAAGTAGGAGCCCTCCATGCGGGTGGCTGGAGAGGGCTGCTGGAGGCGCAGTAGTGGGAAGCTGTGGGTGGACCCTGGGCATCTCCTGGAGGTGGTGCTGCAAGCCTGTTCCCCACAATTCTAGAATTGCACCCCCCCCGACATTTTTTCAGATTTCTCTAAGAACTGTAGGAGGATCTCCTCTTTCTCTCTCTTCATGGTGTCCACCCACCCTCTTCCCTCTGGATATTTTTCTTGGACTAGACAGAACACCCTCTCTGGGACTGGGCCATGCTATCCCAAGGAAGCCAGCAGGGCCACTCCTGGACCCTCACAGCAATGCTGCACCCACAGCATCTTTATTCCCTTCTCACTTGGGGCAGGAGAGCAGAATTTCCTATTAGGCTTTAGC